ATGAAGAACTTGACGGAATATGCGCAAAGAAAAGAGAAGGACTTTAAGCCACATCAACGAGATTCTATCATCAAAGTTTCTGAAGTTTCTGAAAACGTCCCTCATTTTTTGATTGCAGATGCTGACCCAAGCATATTGGCATATGTGCTCTCCCATCTTCCAAGAATGGAGACAGTATGCCTGGTATTCTGGCGGTTATGTGGACCGTTGCGCTCCGAAATGTGAGAGACCAACTCAATATTGCTTCGACCGGAAAGTTTATGGAAAGTGCCAATTATCTGGGTGCAAAACATTGTCAATGGTCAAATGCGCGTATTGTGCCAAGAACATATGTTTCCAGCAGTTTGTCATCGAATGCCACCAATGTGTTTAGAATCCTCAACTGTTTTTTCAATTAAAAAAAAAAAAAAAAATTGAAAAACATTTTTTGAAAAATCTTCGATGAACCCATGAGCATATTTGTGAATTTCTTCAAAAATTAAATGTCTGTTTTTATTCTGGAAAATGCCTATTCATAACGAGAAACTCCCGAAAAACATGATTAAATTGCGTAAATTTTATTCCAGAGCCAGTTATGGCAGCTTAAAATAAAACAAAAAAAATTTTGCAAAATTTTTGGGATCGGGAGAATCGAACCTACAACCTTCCTCCTCTGAACTTGCCATTTTACCACTTTACCACACTGCTTATTGAAATCTATTGTTTGAAAAGAAATACACTATTCCGTGAAAAAAATTTCACGAGAAATTGCTTAATCATAGGAAAACGTTTCTAGGTCATAACTCAGCTCACGTGAGCATTTTGCTGATTTTTTAAACAGATTTGGAATCCTCATAAGCTCTTCTATCTGATCCCAAATTTTCAAAAAAAGTTAAACCCGCTCCCTCAAGTAACTCCCTTGTTAGATCCAAGTGTCTCATATGTAAAAACTCTAATAGAAGGACGCCCTATACTTACACTTCAAGCTCAATTATCTCAATTTCTATGAGAGATATAAAAATCTGTCAACTAATTAAATGTTGGTGGTATTATGACAAACGTTTCATCAGCTGGCAGATTTTGGTCCTCTATTGTAGAAATAGAGATAATTGACAAGCTCAAATATACGGTGTTTGTAAATTGTTTGATTTCAGGAGCAAGCATGGTAGACCGTCCGCCGAGAAGGATAGGATTAGAAACTCAATCGCTGAACTCTGCCTCTCCCATCTCAAAAAAGAAGGAACCGTTCTAAAATCGATTCATGTCAAATCTGAAAATGATCTGAAATTCAAAGCAGAAGAGCATACCGATATGGCTCCATATATCAACTATTCTCTGAACAAGAAACGACGATGGGAAGCAGAAGATGCAATTGGAGTTGATCTTCTGGATAGAGCTCAGAAATTGAACGAAGGTTGGAAAGTTATTCTTTTGGAGAGAGTAAATTTGAGAAGTTGGAACTTCACAAACTGGGCTTACGCATCAGCTCCTGAACGATATTTGGACCTTTTTATGATTAAAAATGTTCATGAATTGACGAAGGATGATGCTTATAGCCACAAGGGGATTGATTCAGTATATGGACAAAGGTTTTCTCATTTCTTAGAAGAGAACAGAAAACCAAAGAAGGAGAATGAAGCAGAGTCATCTGAACCATCGGAGCCTCTTGCAGCATACAATTTCCTTCGAGCTCCCAGAAACTACGTTGCACTTCTTCAAAAGGAATACAAAAGCAGCAATTATGGATGGGAATGTAAGTTATTAAATTAAACCATCTTATTTGAAGCTCGAAAATGTTTAGGGCCTCATGTCGGTTACTGGCGTCGTATTGATCAATTGAAAGACAAACTCCTTGACTTGCGATATGGAGAAATTGAGGATCTCGATGGCAACGATGTCGATGATGTATCCGAGGAAGATCAGTCAGATGGAGGTTCGGATCACAAGAAGAAATCTGAATTCTACAATCTAGAGGATCATATCGTTGATAAGTTCGTGGTTGTCAAGCGTCGAAGACGGAAGAATACGTGTTAATTTTAACTGGTTTTGGTATTTTGATCTCGATAAAGTTTTCTAAATAAAAAACTTTTTATGGTCTTCTCTCTGTTGAACTTTATTCCCAATCATCTTGAAATCGTGTGACTGGTATCGTCATGTTACCGGTTGTTCGTGAGAAATTGATATTTTTGTGAAGGAAAAGAACATTTTCTAGGAAATTGAAAAAATCAAGCAACTAGAAAAATGATCGTACTTTGAGGTGAAGAAATGAAAAAGTCGGCTCTCCGTAAGGGTTTGGACGAACAGAAGGGAACCGGTAATAGAAGCTCCCTATCATAATTGCGACGTTTGAATCTGAAGGACCACCTGTAATAGAAGGCTACTCCGGATGTACTGTGAAACCATAAAAGGGCTGGACATTCTAACACAGGTTTTCCGAAATTCTTTCGAGGAAATGTTTTGCTGAAGAATTGGGTTCCAGAAATTGACAGGCTCAAAAAAAATAACTTTACTTTCGAAAAATTCATTCAGTTCACATAAAGAAATAATAATGCACATTAGAATTGAGAGATTCGGGGGAAAGAGAAAGATCTTTGTCTTTGGTTTGTCAAATTAACAAAGGGGTGGGGGCTTTATAAAAAGTGGTTTAACAATAAAAAGTAAAACAATATCAAATTGGTGAAAATGATGTGTAGGGAGCTGAAACCGAAAAAAACATTTAAATAGGAAATCATGGTTTGAACTTCTCCGCTTCACATTTTGAATCCATCAAATGCAGCTTCAAGTTCCGACATCTCATAGCGCTGGGAGACAGAGGTGATTTCGCCGAACAGCTTATTACTGAAAAGATAAAAATGATTTAATGGAAGAGGACTTGAGATTGACTTACTCAATAATGCATTGGAAGCAGATTGGTCTCTCTGCATTTTCATCATCTTCTTCGAGACTGTCCTTCTCTTCCTTCATTTGTTCTTCATTCTCTTCCTTGCTCTTTTCTCCTTCTTCCTGCTCCATCAGTTCTTCGTCCTCGTATTCTTCATCGCTGTCTTCATCACTCTCTTCATACTTCTTCTTATATTTCCTCTTAATTTTGATAGTTGAGGTGGTTTTCATCTCGCGTCTTGTGGTCCATGGAATGAAATTGAACAAGCAATCGAGACACAACATGCATCTTTCAACAACTTGGACGCCCTCTGGTGCTGGTGGACCTTCAACATTCATATTTTTCTTCTCAACGAGTTGTAGCTCTCTTTCAGCTTTCGCCAGACTTCTGAAAAATATAATGGATAAGATTAAGTCCACAGGTCTTCTTTGTTCATAAACTTACCGCATTAAAGCACTTCTCATGTACTTCTTCATCTCGTGCTCCACTTCAATCTTTTGGAAAACCATATTCCATAAAATTGTTTCGATTCCCATCAAGGTCCATTGCTTCGCAGCCGCATAATTATCATGCATAATCAATGCAGCGGATAATTGTTTGGCATTCTCGTGGCCAATGTTCCAGGAAAGATTGGTAGCAAATCCAATAGATTGTACCCAGTGGAAAGTTCCAATTCCCACGAACACTGTATCTCCAGCTTTTTGGATACATTTCTGGAGAGGAATGCCTTCTAGGATACAATCCGACTCGATACCCCAATACGAATGAGCGTACACATCCAATTTGTTGACATGGTTCAATTTCAACCTCTTCGTCATCAAGCTTTGGAACGCTCCTGCATATTCGAATGGAACTCCATACCAAAGACATGGATCTGGTCCCAAGTTGTGATTAACTGAGCCAAGTCCGCTGTTTTCCGAGTGTGGATCCGTTCTGGATCCTGGGGTCTTCAGGTAGAGCTGTGGCTTGTTCAAGCCTTTAATGGACTCCTGTGCATAATTCAAAATGTTGGTGCTGGTATGAGGAGCCAGGAAATCGGGGAACTTGGCGACGTTCTGAAAAAAAAAATTTAAACCCATTACTAAATATATTCTCGGACTGCTATCCAATAAGCTAGATTAATAATTGCACTTCAGATAAGAAATGCATGAAAGCATGAGCAAGACATTTTTTGACAAGTATGAATATGAAAAGTACCTCGGCCTGTTTTGGGAACTTCTCTTCATCATCCAGATCAATATTGGTGCCGAATGCGATCACTGTAGCGTGCTTGTGAACTTCGAATCCAACATGAGGAAGAGAACTTGCTTTGAGTTTATCTTGTAGATTCTGAAGGATACTTTCAGTTTCTTCTGGATGCTCGAGAATTAATTCGTAAGCTGAAAAAACTGTTCGTTCGAATCAAACAAAAAAAAAGTTTAAAAACTCACCAGATTTAGAATCCGAAATCATTTTATTATGGTATTCTGCATATTCTTTGATTCGAATCAGGTGTCTGAAGTTTTGAACATCCCATTGATTCGACTTTCGAGATCCGACCTTGCTCTGTGTGATGAAGTTATGAGTTGGTGGTTGAGGGATCATCCTCAGCACCTCAATCTCATATTCTGGCGCGATCTCATTCATTTTGTCCACAGTAAATTCGGCGTCATCGAATCCGATAACATTTGTGAGGTTTTGGAACATGCACATCGAGGTAGTGCATGCCAAAGTTTTCGCCTTCTCCATTTCCTCAGCGGAATTGTCCTTCACTTTGTAAATAGCTACTGGCAAGTATCCATTGTCCGAAAGCTCCTGTGGATGACCGGCATGATTGACAAAGAAATCGATTTCCTTTTGAACCAAATCCGTGTCGCCTTCAGGAAGGAACTTGTTATTTTTGTGGATGAACTCCTCATAGACTGGAATTCCCGAAAGCACTAGTCTGACGATTTGTGCACTTGTAGCAGTTTCCGGATTAAGGTACGGATGACCTGTGTAGTTCATTCTCATGGACGGTGCGACGTTCGGCTTTTTTGAAGGAGCTTTCAGAGGTTCAGCCAGCAGGTACTTCTTCATGACAGGACCCATTCCACGAAAACTATCTGATTCTGGAAGAGAAGTTTCGATCGGCAAGACGTATGAGTAGCAATTCTTGTCCTGAAAAAGTGAATTCTTTTGTCTCGGATATTTCGTCTGGGATACACATTTTTATCAGTATACCAACTTGTCATTTTCCAGACAGTCTATGTACAACCATGGTGGAATAAAAAGTGTTAATCGATTCTCAGAAATATTTTTTGAAAAAAAAAACACGAACCTCTACTTTTCTCAAGATTCCCTCAATGACTTCCTTTGCCTCCTCACTCATTTGTCTGTTCTGCGATTGATCATGAACGGATCGAAGACAAACTCCAGCCAGCCACTCAGAACTGAATAATTGAATCTTCCATGGTGTGAGTTCCAGGCATTCCCGTTTTTTGTAAGCCTGTTTGGCTGGAGCTGTCTTTTTCGCTTTTTTGGCTTCCATCAAACTATCCGCATTCCCATTTGTACGCTTTGGGTATCTTCGTTTTGGAAACACTGCCTCAGATGCAGTAGTGTCCGATGGAGTGGATGGCTGGACATCAGGAGAGTTGTTGGAAGAGGTTGTAGCATCTGAGCTGGTATCTGAAGTTTATATGTCTTGAAATACTTTAATGTTAAATCGTAAAAACATTTGGATGAAATTTTATTGCGCTCTTATTGTCATCTTCTCACCTTGTTAAGTCTCTTCATGTCAAAGATACTATTGTATCCATAATGATAAACGAAACGGACTAGGTTTTACGTTATCTAACTCACTCCTACACCAATTCATCCATTATGTATTAATCTTCGAAAACTCCCATAAAGAGATTTTATACCTTATTCAACATCTTCCTTATATATAAAACGCTACACGCCTCTGTCCGTCCCGTTGTCCGTCTGTCAACTTTCGAAAAACTTGAAAAATAAATATATACTTACGTGACCTTTTAGAAAAAATGAAAAGTGGAGAACCGGTAAAAACTAGATTGAATCGCGCCGAAGGCACACCAGCTTGCTGGGATTCAACATATTTAAAGGAGGTCAGACATCAAAAAAAAGTCTTACTGATATTTTGCCTAGAGAACCCTCATGAGGAGTTGAACTCGTGATCCCCAGCTCAGGGGTACAACGCCGCTACCGGCTGAGCTACGGGGGAAGGCGACTGCCGCCCGATGGCATACATGAGCGCGGCGCGGTTCAGTCCCAAAAACGTTTTGCTGTCTCATCTTCTTTAACACATATTGTTCAATTCTAGATAAACATACCATCTGGAACATCAGAAGAATCACCAACGAGCTGATTGCTATTGTTGACTTGACTGGACATGATTGGTTTTGCCTTGATTGATATACTTGATATGAGTCGGATGAAACCGGTGACGGTACCAAGAAGAAATCGATTTAATGGACAGCGGAATTCGAAAACTTCCCGTCTCGTTGAGATCTGGAATACAATATTCGTTAGAAGTAATGCAAGACATGCTTTCGCTGGACGAAAATCAAAAGAAAAACGAAATTAATTTCCACTGGTCTCCTAGGTAGGCACAGTCTCTTGTTGCCAATCTGAGCAGTATTCGCCTGTCGTTGGTCAAGAGAAGAAAGAGAGAGAAAGGGGAGTGAAGAGAGACGAGAGTACATTTCTGTCTTCATGTTGCGTGCTATCTGGGCCTAAAAAGTTGAGGGTGGGTGTGAGATGCAAGAAAAAACGGAGGTACAGATGGAGGCGATGGGCAGGTGGCGATTGATTTACACTTTCATGGCACAAAGTGGACAGGAGGTCGAAAAGGGTATGGGAGGTAATATGTTGTCGCATGGAGAACGGCCGATTAGAGAAAAGGAAAATAGCCATAATCAAAAGGTGCATCCAACGACACACAATACTAAGTTTGAAGGACATCGTCTTCTTTCCAGGTCAATCAGATCAACTGCGAGAAATGCAAAACTAGTTAGGATGAGTAACACCAAACGGTAGTTGAAAGATTAAGAAAGTTCAAGAAATCTTCCCTATTTTAAAACACCGTAAAACTGTGTAATAGAAGGGTCCCCTAACTTTTATCTTTGGCCCTCTTTTCCCTGTTCCTGAAGATAAAAAAGTTGTCAACTGATAAATTGTTTATCATAATATGAGAAGTGTTTTGTTAGTTGACATAGTTTGGATATCCTGCTTAGGAGCCAAGAAAAATTAGCTTAAAATCGATAGTGTGGGAAACTTGGCAGTGTACCTTCTATCACAGGTTTAACGGCAACTTTATAGTTAATACGAAAACGGATTCAGAGCATTCAGGATCCACAACAGGAATAAAATCAAGGTGTTTTGCGGTTGCACTCTACATAGTAGTCGCGCGGCATAATAATTTGAAATTGTTCTCTGTGTCTCTCACTGTATTGTACTGACTTGAGATTGTATATGATCTCGCTTGTTTTCTGCTTGTTTTTCCGTGGGCCTAAAATTTTGACACGCCCCTTCTCATTGGAGCGCATCCGTATACCACAAGAGTTTGGACCAACATGCCCAGTAACTATCATCGTACCCAAGAAAGGTAGTAAAAACAGACTGTGAAATCATAATGAAAGTTGGATATTTCACATGTTGTGGTCCAATACAAAGAATTTTAGGAAAAAACTGATTTATGCAATTAAGAAAATAAATTAAAAGAAAAAATGGGATAATGAACAATTATTTAGATTTCCGATCGTTTGATGTCCTCTGTATTTGATAATTGCTTTGATTGGAATGTACCTGAAAAGCAGTTTAAACCACCACTAACAGTCATTGACGCATTTTTCAACTCGTTCTCTCTTTCTTTTATAATCAAACCATCGGCGTTTTCGCTCTCTTTTGAAGAGTTATCGAGCATCATAAAAACATCATCGATAGCATACAAATGTTGTCGCTGTTTGCCTGCACTATCTTGTTTAACATTATAATAATCCCATTGAAAAAGTTCTTTTTTCTCTGCAACAGACTGCCCAGTATTCAGTTCTAGACCTCCAACTTCTAAAAACGTTCTGCTATTTTTTACGGCATGGCATCATCTGATAGAGCAGAAAAATGCGATGAAGAAGAAAGCTTGCAAATTCTTGAGAGTTAGTTTTAACTTCTGAGTTTAATATCTCGCATTTTTTCTAGAAGCTGGTCGATTGAAAAATGCTTCTCACAGTGATGATCTTCTCAAAATGGGACGATATTCAATATTTTTATGCATTTTCGTAGAAGTTGCAATGCTATCTCAACTTTCCAACACTATGTTAATGGTATATGCAGGTAAATTCCAATGTTTGATCTAGAAAATATGAGACATTCAGGTGCTTCACCAACTATAAAATCATGTGGAAACATTTCATTTTCTTCTAATGAAGAAGCTTGTGCAAATTATAACGAATATTGCAAAGAACAAAATAATATTACCTTTGCTAGACAATTTTACGGGATCACTGAACAGTTCAAACTTTTATGCGAGGATGCGAAATTAGAGAAACTAGGGACATCGATACAAATGATTGGCGTTATGTTGGGTTGTCTAGTTTTTGGCCAAATTGGAGATTTTTATGGACGAAAGAAACCAATGATGTTTTGTCTTTGTATGTGTTTCATTTTTGGAATTTGGTCGGCTTTATCATCTGATTTCAAGAAGTTCACAATTTTTCGAACTATTCTTTGCTTCTTCAATGGTGGACAAAGCACGTAAGTCGTTTTTCGAAATTATGAATAGCCAAAACACGACGGATTCTCATGCGCTTAATTATCTGATACCTCATAATTAGTACTCCGTATGCAATGAGCGGCGTTTTTACACTTACAAAAATACATCACTCCTAGAAATTTCTTTGGTTAGTTGTATTTTATGGCACGAATGGCATATTCAGAAAAAAAACAGACATGCGTTGAAAGTACAAGTTGCAAAAAAGGAGAAGAGCTCCAGAAGATATAGAGCTCAAGAGTAATTTTGAAAAATTCCAGGATATCAGTGGTTTATATGATTGAAAACATTCCTAAACGAACAAGAGGATACGTCTCAACACTCATCAGTTATTCTCCAAATGTGATTCTACTCGGAATTCTCGCTTTTCTATTCCAAGAATGGGACCGACTGGCTTTGGTGATTGCCTTTTTAACAGTTCCCGCAATTGTGATGCTTGCGTGAGTTTTCAGGAATGATAAGACGATTAGACGAAAGTTGTTCAGGTTTCTCCATGAAAGCCCCCGATGGTTGATGCAGAAAGGAAAAGTTGCCCATGCCAAAAAAGTGTTTTTGGCTATCGAAAAGTTTGATGGAACTCCTTTATCAGAGTGTTTGAATGGTGATGAGCTGGAGAATTTTCTGGAATACGAACATGACAGACAAATATCGGAAGCGAATACAAAAGTTGGGAAACAACACTCATTTTGGCATCTGTTCAAAACGAGAGAGATTATGACTGGTACATTGGTGATTGCCTTCACATTGTATGTCGAAGCTTGAAATATAACTTTTCCAAAATCTCATTTCAGCTTCGCAACAACCCTAATCAACTACTCAATCATGTTTAATTTGGGAGCAGTTGCTGGTTCAATCTATGTTAACTCAATTTTCATTGGACTTCTCCGTTATTCGTTCAGCCTTTTCAGTGGGTTTATGGATTATAAATTCGAGAATTTCAACCGGAAAATGTGTCATGGGATCTGCAGTATTGTCACAATCTCAATAATCGTTGCCATCATTGCATTCTGTTTGACAAACACTACTTCAACATTCTCTACACTTATTCGAATTGGAGTTTTATTATCCTGTGCTATGACATCTCAAGCTATTATTGTGGCAAGCATTGCTTCAAATGAATTGATGCCAACTGCCATCCGATCTATTTCGTACTCCACAGCACAACTTTGTTCCAGATTCGGAATCGTGTTTGCACCGCACGTTTTCCATTTGGTAGGTTGGTTTCTAGACTTTTTTTTTTGAAAAACTGAATTCAGAACTTGTATACCAGAATAGACTTCCCAGTTCTGCCATATGCCATTTTACTAGTTATTGGTCTTGCAGATTTTCTATGTTTCCGGGTGAGTCTTTCTATTTCGATGACGAAATTTCAATTTCCATTTTTAGTTCTTGATTCCTGAAACCAAAAACAAACCACTTGAGGATTTTATTATGAATCGCACAAAGACTGTGGAAAAGGAAGAGGAAGAAGATGAAGTGTGATTAACACTATATGTTTTATAAAACAAAGTGTAATGAAAAAAACAATTATCTTTAAGCTCGAAGGATCCGTTTTATGGAAAACAGCAAGTACAACGATAGTTTCCTAATATTCATTTTGCTTTATCACGACCCTTCTTGAATCCCTACCCCCCCCCCCCCCCAATGCTTTTCCAGAATCCCAGAAATTGAAAGCTTCGAGTTCTGTGAATCACGTGAATTTCCAAAATCCCAGAACTCGAACCGTTCGAGTTCTGTGAAAAATCCCAGAAATTGCAACGTTCAATTTCTGTGAATCACGTAAAATTTCCAAATTCCCAGGATTCGAAGCCTTCAATTTCTGTGCATCACGTAACTTTTCGCAAAATTGAAAATCAACAGAAATAATGTAATTAAAACCATATTTTTCATGATTGCGTTGAAATAAAGTATTTCGGGACAAAAACACATCGATTATGAACTTATCAGTAGTTTAGTATTTTCTGTGACGAATTACAGAAATTTGGACCATTTTTGTTTATTCCTTCGAAAATTAAACATTTTGAAAATCGCTACTTCTTATATAATTGGAAAGTGATGTTCAGTATTTTCGAAATTAAAATTCAAAATACTTCGGGAACTTTTGAATGCTGCTCTCATGAGTAGAAATGACATCTTCCAGTAGTCCAACCATTTTTGCCATTGCTACTTCTTTCATCTGAAACTCAGTTTTCATTAAACCTCCAATTTGAAACAAAAACTCACCGCTTCTCTGTATTCTTCGGAGACATGAGCATGCTCAAGCAGAGGAGCGATTCCAGGAAGAACCATAGAACTCATAAGAGGAAAATATACTTGATAACTATCCTTAAGATTCTGTAGAGTGTAAGGAACTTCCATTCCATCAAGCTCTTTTACGAATGTTTTGTAGTATTCCTCCAGCAAGAAATCTACTTTTTCTCTTCTGTCTTTGGTCGATAAGCAGGATGCAAACAATCTTCCAACGTCTTGTGCAGGAGTTGTAACTGTTACAGTCTGAAAAAAAAAACTGAATAAAGGAATACATGATATCAAAAGGTACCTGATAATCAATGATAGCTCTTAGTGTTACTTTCTCCCCATCTCGACTGCACAAAAAGTTGGAACTCCACAAATCAGAATGAGTGAGAACTGGCTTGTATCCAAAGAAATCGCAAGTCTTCTTGAAGTTTGATAACATTTTCGGATTCAAATAGTAATCTCTATTGATTTTCAGCATTTTCTCAACCTTTTCAGAGTAATCAGCCGAAAATGCAGCTCTCATCATATCTTCAGATTTTGTTATCGTTTTTTCGTCCATGAATTGACCGAAGACAATGTCAAGGAAATCAGCTCCTTGAGCATATTTAGTCTCCTCTTCACTCAATTTCATTCCGAAGGCAGAAAATGCGGCGATTGCGTGGACAATTGGAAGAAGGTCTTCAGCTGAAATACTTTCATGCATTCCAATATGATGAAGGTCTGGAATGTACTCCGAGATGATGTAAGCTTTCAAAGTGTTCTCATCATCGAATGGTTTCAAAGCGTAGATCTGAAAGCTTTTGTTTTTGAGTCCATCAAAGACTTCCAAGTTACCTTGGTGAAAGGAATTCTCGGATGCTTTTCTCTCATCAAAATCTTGTAAGTTGATACTTCTCTGTTATGCAGCATACGTGTCATATCTCCCATTCCTTTCAATTTCGCATCATCCCAAAACTCCTCAGCATTAAAGTCCATCAGTTTTGTCATTTCAATGAAAGGAAGTTGAGAAGAAATTTTGACAATGAACTTCTCAGGAAGCTCTTCATCATCAGAAGCTCCAACCCAATGCGGCTCAACAAGAGCAATTCTTGACATGAATCCCTGAAACGTAGTGAGCTATTCATTAATATTGATTGTTAGACTTACCTTCATATCACTAATGTTTGTAACAGTCTTGTCATCTCCAAACTTGGCAGAAGTATCCAACGCTTTCTGCATCTGTTCTTCAACTTCTCCCCATGTTACATGGGTTCCAAGCAGACCATCGGCTGCCGTATACAAAGACATAGTTTTCAAAAAGTGAGCCAAATACTTTTTATTCAGTACTTAAAATATAACTGTCAACTACACTCTTCCTCTTGTATTATATACCCACGTGCTTTTCTGCCTTATCAAAAAGCTGTCATTGATAAGTTGATCAGGGCATGGTTATCATCTGAAAATGGCTCAAAACTTTTCCGGAAACAGGCTAGAGAAATCGTGGTTTGGGACTGATCACAATGCACAAAGAAGAATAGTTTCTTGTGTCTTCTGCGAAATTATTCAAGGCACAAATAGTTAACAAACTTCAATTCCTACACATTTTCGTATTTTAGAGGTTAGTATGTACATTGACAAAACTGATGTACTGATAAAAACGTTATTGATCTGATGTACATTAATGGTACTGGAATTTTATAGAATGTTCTAGAATTTTCTGGAATTTTCTAGAATGTTCTGGAACTTTCTGGAATTTTCTGGAATTTTCTAGAATGTTCTGGATCTTTCTGGAATTTTCTGGATATTTCTAGAATGTTCTGGAATTTTCTGGAATTTTCTAGAATGTTCTGGATCTTTCTGGAATTTACTGGAATTTTCTAGAATGTTCTGGATCTTTCTGGAATTTTCTATAATTTTCTAGAATGTTCTGAATTTTTCTGGAATTTTCTGGATATTTCTAGAATGTTCTGGAATTTTCTGGAATTTTCTAGAATGTTCTGGATCTTTCTGGAATTTACTGGAATTTTCTAGAATGTTCTGGATCTTTCTGGAATTTTCTATAATTTTCTAGAATGTTCTGGATCTTTCTGGAATTTACTGGAATTTTCTAGAATGTTCTGGATCTTTCTGGAATTTCCTAGAATGTTCTAGATTTTTCAGAGTTTTCTGGAATTTTCTAGAATGTTCTGAATTTTTCTGGAATTTACTGGAATTTTCTAGAATGTTCTAGAGTTTTCTGGATTTTTCTAGAATGTTCTGGAATTTTCTGGAATTTTCTAGAATGTTCTGAATCTTTCTGGAATTTTCTAGAATGTTCTGGATCTTTCTGGAATTTACTGGAATTTTCTAGAATGTTCTGGATCTTTCTGGAATTTTCTATAATTTTCTAGAATGTTCTGAATTTTTCTGGAATTTTCTGGAATTTTCTGGAATTTTCTAGAATGTTCTGGATCTTTCTGGAATTTTCTAGAATGTTCTGGATCTTTCTGGAATTTACTGGAATTTTCTAGAATGTTCTGGATCTTTCTGGAATTTACTGGAATTTTCTAGAATTTTCTGGAATTTTCTGGAATTTTCTAGAAAGTTCTGGATCTTTCTGGAATTTTCTGGAATTTTCTAGAATGTTCTGGATCTATCTGGAATTTTCTAGAATGTTCTGGATCTTTCTGGAATTTACTGGAATTTTCTAGAATGTTCTGGATCTATCTGGAATTTTCTAGAAAGTTCTGGATCTTTCTGGAATTTACTGGAATTTTCTAGAATGTTCTGGATCTTTCTGGAATTTTCTAGAAAGTTCTGGATCTTTCTGGAATTTACTGGAATTTTCTAGAATGTTCTGGATCTATCTGGAATTTTCTAGAATGTTCTGGATCTTTCTGGAATTTTCTGGAATTTTCTAGAAAGTTCTGGAATTCTCTGGAATTTTCTGGAATTTTCTAGAAAGTTCTGGATCTTTCTGGAATTTTCTGGAATTTTCTAGAATGTTCTGGATCTTTCTGGAATTTTCTAGAATGTTCTGGATCTTTCTGGAATTTTCTGGAATTTTCTAGAAAGTTCTGGAATTTTCTGGAATTTTCTGGAATTTTCTAGAAAGTTCTGGATCTTTCTTTAATTTTCTAGAATGTTCTGGAACTTTCTGGAATTTTCTGGAATTTTCTAGAATGTTCTGGATCTATCTGGAATTTTCTAGAAAGTTCCGGAATTTTCCGGAATTTTCTGGAATTTTCTAGAAAGTTCTGGATCTTTCTGGAATTTACTGGAATTTTCTAGAATGTTCTGGAACTTTCTGGAATTTACTGGAATTTTCTAGAATGTTCTGGATCTTTCTGGAATTTTCTATAATTTTCTAGAATGTTCTGAATTTTTCTGGAATTTTCTGGATATTTCTAGAATGTTCTGGAATTTTCTGGAATTTTCTAGAATGTTCTGGATCTTTCTGGAATTTTCTGGAATTTTCTAGAATGTTCTGGATTTTTCTGGAATTTTCTGGATATTTCTAGAATGTTCTGGAATTTTCTGGAATTTTCTAGAATGTTCTGGATCTTTCTGGAATTTACTGGAATTTTCTAGAATGTTCTGGATCTTTCTGGAATTTTCTATAATTTTCTAGAATGTTCTGGATCTTTCTGGAATTTACTGGAATTTTCTAGAATGTTCTGGATCTTTCTGGAATTTCCTAGAATGTTCTAGATTTTTCAGAGTTTTCTGGAATTTTCTAGAATGTTCTGAATTTTTCTGGAACTTACTGGAATTTTCTAGAACGTTCTAGAGTTTTCT